TAACGACGCTTTCGGTTCTGCAGCCCCTGAATAGTCAGTGGGGTTTCTAAGAAATCGGTATGGCAACAAAGGATGAAACAATTGACTTTTCGCTGTTTTTCTTTGTCAGCTTATACGTCGGCATTTGCAACCTTGTTTTGTCCCTCACCGTGTCCCCTTTGAAGCGGCGTTTTTCATGTTTACCGTTACCCTGCTGCTTTATTCACCATGGTTTTTTTTGTTAAGAAAGCCTCTCACTGCTTTTCGCGACCGTTTGCTCTTTGTGTTGCTTAACAGCAGGGAAGAGCTACAGATTTATACACGCCAAGTACAAAAGTCCGTTGATAGCTTCTAGGACATAATGTCATATTTTTTGTTATTTTTTTCTGACTGATGTATGGTTTCTTTGAGCTATTCTGGGTTTTTGTTAAGTTGCTGTTTTCGAAAGGTCGCGTGAGCGCTTAATCAGTTTTGACTGACATAGACATCATGCGTCGGATATACTTTGTCTGCTTTTGCTAGCTCGTGGTAATATAATATTTGTTTAAAGTGAAAAGTTGCCACAGTGTAATTTATGTGGTGTTGTAGTACGGCACGGTGGACCTACCGGATGGCACTTATTTCCTGGAGCCGTTGAACGCGTCGTCGACCTCGTTCTTCACGCTTCCGGATAGTCAACCGCATCTTTTGTACAAAGAACCGCCGCATACATTCCACAAGAGCCAGTGGTCACCTTCCGGGCCTTCAAGTGAGTGCTTTTTGTCACCGTTGGTAGGACGGACGAGAGCCAGACATGGTGTCGGTGGTTGCGTTTCCGCTGCTGCTCTCCGCCGTGCACCGCTGCTTCTGGCTTCTGGTCACTGTCTTGTTTCGCGGCTTCTCTACCGCTGCATTTACACGTGTGTTAGTGAGAACCGAACACTGTGTACTGCTCAGCAATTCGTAGCTGTGGCTTGTGGCCGTGTTCTTCGCTCGCTGGCCATGCTCGAATGACAAATCATTTCAGGCCGGTTCCACTTCTTGTATATATGGAACAGCGCATGCGCATGCAGTTGCAGTTTCAGAGGCGACGGAAGATTTTCGACCGGGATGCTCATCGTTGGGTTGGAAGGTTATCGCAGCAACGAGGTTGGTGTTTCGTTCACCTACTTGCTCAACCTCAAACTACCTCTCCCTCAACCAACAGGAAGTTGTTGGAACGCCATTACGAATTTCTTGTACCGCATTTTTTGCCGTATTTCACGTTGACATCACCAGCGCATTCGCCAGCGTTGTTCAACTTCTGCTTCGCATAGTTATAGCCAGAATTGTCGTACTCTGTGCTCTTTCAGACCTTCAGGCCTGACATTCAGGTTATAGTAATCAGAGATGAAGCGACCATTGTTTTGACGGTCTGGGTCACTAAGGGATCTATTTATTCCGTGAGCGATGCGCACAGGTTTTTACTGCCAGATTCCGTTAAGCCGCTCAACTCTGTCCTAATCCATTTCGGACTTTTCGTTCGTTCCTCCTCTCCTTACCGTAACCTCTTCTGTGATATCCTGTTGCGGTTTCGCAGCACACTCATCCTTAACATATTATTAACATTTGTTAAGTTCAGTTCATTTTATTCTAACCAAGGGACATTAAAAACATAACCAATAGCAACAACACAACGAGCACTGCTGTTTCAGTTGGTTCGGCTCTGTAGACAGCTCTTCTGGTATGAAACGAAGCAGCTTCCATATGACTGTATTATGTGAGCGGCCAGGCATCATCCCTCTGTTCTACTGTTAGCCATTCGTAGCTCTGTTAATTACTCAAGGCTTCATACCTCTATCGTGGTTTCCTCGCTGACAGCAGATCTAACAATCAGGTGATTGCACGTTCGAGTACAGATTGAGTCTTTCCGGCTATCGTTTTCCTATTTGCATAAATAATTAACAGTATGAATGTAAACAAAACAGGAAGCCGAACGCAGTATTTTTTTTACAAATTTGTAGATAACGACATCATAGTCATCTGATAAAGAACAGTATCATCGTAAGTGACATATCTCTGAATGGTGGCATCGAGCAGAGATCAGCGTTGCACCATAACCTTCATGAAAATTGATGTTATGTATTGTGGAACATAGCATCTATTGCACATTATGGTTCATGATACGATAAGCTCCGAATTCTCACTAATCCGGATTTAACGGACTCATCGCCATCATGCTGTTACATAACCGATGGGAACATTCAATCACGGTACGATTCCGTGGTACTTGATCACACCTCCATGGTGGAGATGCGTCTATCATTGTTTTCTGACTAAAATGACATGCTTCATATCGCCAGTATTGCTTCTAAAAAACTGGAACGATATTCGCCAAAACGACGGATTTGTATCCTGCCTAAATGGCTTCAATGGCTCATTTGGCGTTAATATACACAGGGGTGTAATACGTCATGGAATCCAGTTTTTTTGATGAGTTATGCGCTACGTACTTATTGACAGCAAATCTATATTTTCGGAATAATATGAAGGATAACGAGGCATCATTCCAGAATTTTCCAGGAACAACGATCTGTACTGTAATGCGCATCGAGCGCTGTGTTGTCGGACAAAGAACAAGGGACAGAAACACAGAATCGATGTCACGCAGCGAAAACTGGGAAGCACTCGAAATTGTAGCATAGTTATTAGTTTCATAAGGTCATACATTCATAAGAAATGAATCCGTTTAATATTTGATTATTATTACTACCTATTTCATAATGTTTCTAATAAATAATTCATAATAGGTTGTTTTGGACCAGGAATTCAGTGAATCGTCAGTTTCTTGATTCACGGTTTGGCCCAATTTCAGTAATCATCCACAGAAGAATGATAAGATCATCGTTTGGTCATGTTTAGTTACTTTCAGCCGGTAGCATCCTCTAGGTTACATAACAGCAATGGGCTATTATATACAGATTGTGTACATTAT